TGTAATGTACTCAGGTGAATAAGATGCTTGTGATGTTACTCTGAGTGTGTATCCACACCGGGCAGGCTTGAAAAATATGCCTGGCCACGGTGGGAATCGAACCTACGACCTTTGGAATACTAGCCCAATGCTCTGCCAACTGAGCTACTTGCCCACGGTGTGGATACACACTCGTGAGTAACATCACACAAACATCTTATTCACCTGAGTACATTACACAAACACAGCAAATTTCATGATTATTAGATTACACTGATATCGAAGGAACTAGACTTAGTTCCGAAATATCGCATACTCGAACCGACCTGACCGCGTAGCTCAGTTGGCAGAGCATTGGGCTAGTATTTTAAAGGTCGTAGGGTCGATTCCCACCGTGGCCAGGCATATTTTTCAAGCTTGCCCCGTGTGGATATACACTCAGAGTAACATCACACAAGCATCTTATTCACCTGAGTACATTACACCAACACAGCAAACATCATTATTAGATTACACTGATATCGAAGGAACTAGACTCGGTTCCGAAATATCGCATCTCGAACCGACCTGACCGCCATTGGGCTAGTATTCCAAAGCTCGTAGGTTCGATTCCCACCGTGGCCAGGCATATTTTTCAAGCCTGCCCGGTGTGGATACACACTCAGAGTAACATCACAAGCATCTTATTCATTTGAGTACACTACACCAACACAACAAATATCATGATTATTAGATTACACTGATATCGAAGGAACTAGACTCAGTTCCGAAATATCGCATCTCGAACCGACCTGACCGCGTAGCTCAGTTGGCAGAGCATTGGGCTGGTATTCCAAAGGTCGTAGGTTCGATTCCCACCGTGGCCAAGCATATTTTTCAAGCCTGCCTGGTGTGGATATACACTCAGAGTAACATCACAAGCATCTTATTCACCTGAGTACACTACACCAACACAGCAAATATCATGATTATTAGATTACACTGCTATCGGAGGAACTAGACTCAGTTCCGAAATATTACATACTCGAACCGACCTGACCGCGTAGCTCAGTTGGCAGAGCATTGGGCTAGTATTTTCAAGCCTGCTCGGTGTAGATACACATTCAGAGTAACATCACAAGCGACTTTGAAAATATTCTCATAGTTTTGCCGATGGCAATCGTATCATTTGTTGTGTTGTTTTCTCTTTTAATAAGATTAATATTTGCCATTCGCAACTTTTTGCAGTTCGTTTCTCGGTATGATAAATGGCTGGCTTGTTCACATCTTTTAAATAATAACTTATGGTATTATAAGTTGCTGCTAATGGACGATTTACTAAATATATCAGTGTAGCAATTTTTATTTTTACATATTTTTATATATGACATGGGTCAATATTTTCAGTTTTGAATATGTTAATAGTTATTACTTTAGCTGTAATTAAATTTTAAAAACTCATTAATAACTCAGGAGGAAAACACAAAGAAAAATCATAAGCGTGTCGTGGTTTTATATGTGATAAAAAATCATGTTAATTTACATAAACTTTAGCTTTGATTTTCTCGGTTTAGACCAAGTTTATATTAAAAATTACTTCGCCAATGAACTCGTACTCCGCTACGCGTCGTGTTTTATATGTGATAAAACACGACTACAAGTGCTTTAAATAGTACGTCAAATTTAAGTGTTGCTTTAATGAACATAGACAAAGATTGTTCTTATCATAATAATAAAAAGTTTTTTTCTGTCCAAAGTATGTATATAAAGTGTGGAATAATTAATATATTCGTTGTTGCATGGGTGAAACTGGGAGGAGCGAATTCGAAATTATGAGACAAGTACATATAATATGGGGCAGCAAGATGAGATGGTAGGAATGTGTGTTTCAAATTATTTTTGTTACGAGTAAATGCAAAATTATCATCTTGTTACAAGGTAACAGACGTGCTACAAGTTGTTCCAACAAGACTAGTACTGTCATCAGCTTGTTGACAACTTGTTACGTGCAGACGATATCAGACTTGTTGGAACAACTTGTTACGAGTCTGTTAGCCTCATCAACCTTGTTACAATATGATAACAACTTGTTACATACTTGTCAACAACTCTGAACAAGCAGTGCGAACTAATCATGTTGACAAGCTTTTAGGTTTTTACGCGCGTCTACGAATTCGCAACCAGAAATGGAATTGTTGGGTTGCATTTCTTCGCACGGGAATTCCTATAATTAGCTGTTTTCGAATTCGTCCCGTTTCATGCTTCCTGTGTGAATGCATGGGAAAGGCGAAATCGGGAAAATGCGAGTATTACTTAAAATTCCCCTGTTTCCGTGTAAACACATTCTTAGAATAGACACAGAATAAGGAAAGGCAGAGAAGCATGTGATACAAGCGGAAGACTAACAGCAGAAAAAAAGAAAATTGAAAAGAAAACTGCCGATGCTGTAGGGAAAGTCATGCCTTATCCCTTATACTTGCGTCAATATGTTACGAGTCTGTTGGCTTCATCAACCCTGTTACAACTGAGATAATAACAACTTGTTACATACAACTCTAAACAAGCAGTGCGAACAAATCATGTTGACAAGCTGTCAGAGTCTTAAGCGCGTCTACGAATTCGCAACCATACACGGAAATTGTTGGGTTGCATTTCTTCGCACGGGAATTCCTATAGTTAGCTGTTTTCGAATTCGTCCCGTTTCATATGCTCCCTGTGTGAATGAGAAAGGCGAAATCGGGAAAATGTGAGGTCGATTTAGAATTCCCCTGTTTCCATGTAAATGGATCCTTAGAATAGACACAGAATAAGGAAATGCAGAGAAGCATGTGATACAAGCGGAAGACTAATGGCAGAAAAAAAGAAAAGAAAATTGAAAAGAAAATTGCTTTGTTTCCGAAACACAGATAGGGAAAGTCATACTTCTCTCTTATGCTCGCGTCCAAATGAAACTATAAACTACCAGGCATTAGGCATATAATATGGAAGAAATTGCGCTTCCTAGAATATCTTCTAAATAAGTGCAAAATATTGGTTGTTTTCCTGCTAACAACAAAGATCGCTATAACTAATTCTGTCTGACTTCACTTGATGATCAATAAATGCTGGAAACGATTTTCTTCAACGGCATATATCATGTTGTGTTACACTATGTTTAAACTACGCTTTCTGATTGTACTATTGCTGTGTTTCCAAGGTAGGTTTTTATCCATGCATTGGTTTAGCATTTATAGTGTTAAATAGTCAATAATGCGAGTATTTCCAATAAGGTGTGCAAGGGATAATATATTGCTATTTTACATCAGAGCGTGTATGCCTTTCATATAAACGCTTCAATCATTCAAAATTTTAGCCATTCAAGATGTCATGACTAATTCACTGTTTGTCAGCCACCAAGGAGATGATCTCAACAATTGTGGTAACTGGACTATGCCATGTCGTACTGTGCGACATGCAGTGAAGATGTCTAATGATGGAGATCAAATTTATATTGATTATGCACAAGGAAGACCTTATATGGAATGCGAAAATTTAACCCAAACAACATGCTCTATCGAGTTAACAAAATCTGTTTCATTTCATGGTATCAATGGAAAAGCTAAAATTCAATGTAGGAAATGTTACAAAATTTTTAACATAGGGAGCTCGAGTTTTAAAATAACGCGAATCAAATTCCTGAATTTGGTTATATCAAATTCAAATATTGTTGCTGAACTTGATGTAATGGCCAAGGTAGAATTAATATTTCAAAATATGTTGATCAGGGATAACTCTTGTTCTATGTACAGCAAGAATTCGATTGATTGTTCGATTAAGATATTTAACTCAAGTTTTGTAAATAATTTCAATTTTCGGGGAATTTATCTGCGATGTGTCAACCTCACTGTACATATAAACACTGCTTCCTTTATATTAACTCCTGTGCTCTTCACAAACATTGCAAATAAACCAACAAGCTGGAAAAAAACAGAGATTTTAGTACAAAATACGATTTTTGATGGTAAAAAGATTAAAAAATGTGCTCCAATGCTCATGATAAAGCCGTTTGCAGCTACATTTAATGTCACAATAAGTGACTCCGAGTTTAAAAATCAGTTTGCAAATTGCAGTTACAGACGAGATAGTCGGCTTTCTACATTGCTAATATCTGACTATAACTCAGATGTCCGTAATATAACATTAATATATTTCAGCAATCTGAAATTCGAAAATAACTACAACAACGGGGCTACACTTTTCCTAAGCGCAGCATATCTGGAATACACTGCAGTACATGTTATGGTAAAAGACAGTATTTTCAGGAATAATTCGATTGCACTTCGAGTTGGTAGTCGTTATTTGGGTGGACACCATTCCCCAGCGAAGCAGCCCACAATAATTCTTGAAAACAATACGTTCGTTGAAAACTTTTATGACAAGGTAAAAATTACTGGTGCAGCAGCAATTCACTTCACGAATGTTAAAACCCGAGTATCGTCCTGTCGTTTCCTTGACAACAAGCCTGGTCAAAATCCTTACACTGGTGTAGTCAAAATTGCGGAATGGGCAACAGTTACATTTTTTAATTCTTATTTTGAAAACCGCCAGATGGCAGAACAAACTAATCAACTGTTTGCATCAGGAAACAAACCAGTTTATTTTCGTGGCAAAAATACGTTTAATTTAGTCGCATTAAAAGAGAGCCAGACTGTATTCATTCGTGTACCTTCCATTTTTAACAGTAAAGTTATTATCAAGAAGAATTTTAAGATCTTATGTCCACAAGGCTACAAAGTGAATTCGCAGCGAGAGTGTGTGAATATAAAGAATGCATACCTGTGTTTCTATATCAATATCCAATGTGAACAGTGTCCAACGAAAACGTACACAATCGAAAGAGGCAAATTCATTTTCAATAAAAGCAATGACATCCAATGTCTGCAATGTCCTAGAGGAGGGGACTGTGGTAGTGGACTGGTCACGCCCAAACCAAACTTTTGGGGTTACAGAACAAATATGCAAATCGTCTTTGTCCAATGTCCCCCAGGATACTGCTGCGACTCCGAGGATTGCGTCACCTATGATGGTTGCCATGGAAACAGATCTGGTACACTTTGTGGTCAATGTCCAGAAGAAATGTCGGAAAGTTTGTTCTCCACACAATGTATATCAAACACAGAATGCTCCTTCAATTATTTCTTTATAATTGGCACAATTGCAATGCTTGTTCTATATCTTGTCTTCTTTCTTTACCATAAAGAAATTGTGAGCATTCTTCGAACAAGTTTATTTAGTAAGCGCTTATCGTTCTCAATAGACAACAGAAACGAGCGAAGAAACAATGTCAGCACCGGTGGTAATACCTCTTCACCCAGTGGGATGATTAAGATATTCTTCTATTACTATCAAGTTTGTAATTTGCTAAGAAGCTCTGTAGGTTCTACTAAAAAGGGTCAATTCATTCATAATTTTGAGAATGTTATTTCAAGGGTAATGAATATGGTTCTAGTTAATCTTCCATCGTTTAAATGTCCTCTGAAGGATCTTCATGCTGTTCCTAAGGCCGTTATACTACACTCCGTGGGGTATTGTCTTCTTGTTCTTCTTTGTCTTCTTTATTCTTTAAGCAAGTTGATTCCGATCTTAAGAAGATTAGGAAATGGTGGCGATAGAAGAACAGCGTTACAACATGTCACTTCAACAAGGTCTGATCATAGAAGTAGCGCTTCAATATCGTCATTTCCACAACGAGTTGCTTCGGCCTTCACTTACATTTCTTTATTGATGTACGCTTCGTCAGCTAAACTCTGTCTTTCCCTGCTTCATTGTGTACCAGTTGGTGGCAGCCAAGTTTTATTTCTTGATGGTAATCTAAAATGCTACCAAACATTTCAATATTTTTTTCTTGTTTACATGATTACTTCCATACTTCCATTTTGTCTTGTTCCTGTTCTCGGCTCGTATCTTTTAAAGTTTGATCGAATTGGTGTGAAACAATTTTGTGCGGCCTGTATCATCCCTCTGCCATTTTGTTGTTTTTGGTTGTACTTGTTGCTTAAGGACTGTCGTTGTGGAAATCAGAGATCGTATAACACAATAGACGAAAATGATAATACTGTAAGATCTGAACAAGATCATGACGAAACACAAAGCCTTGACAGTGAAGAAATTACCTTTGCCTCTTCCACTGATAGCAACGAAACCATTTCTACGAGAAGTGAATCAGCCATTCTCAGTGTGTTGTTGGGTCCATTTCGACCTCACCAAGCTGTTATGTGTTTTCCTTCTTCACATATTCCTTGGGAAGGTTTTCTTATCTTTCGTAGATTGGTCTTGATCATTGTGTTGACTTTCGTCTACGACATTCAGCTCAGACTTTTTCTAGCTTTAATATGGTGTGTAGCCATTCTAATCTGCCACACCATTGTGTATCCTTTTCAGAGAAAACGCGACAATGTTCTGGAATCTTTTTCTCTTGGTACACACGTGGTCCTGTGTGGTTCAACTCTAATAAAAGCTCTTTATTACGGTGAAGATTATTCGTCTTTTTCAAAAAGTTTGCCTGTGTTGAACGTGATCGAAAATATTCTTATTGTCGCTCCATTGTCTATCATTATGATCGTTGTTATCTTTTCTCTTGCTATAAAGTTGGTTTTTGGTTTAAAACTCTGTGTATCAGTGTTGATTCGAAAGGTTTTAAATTTGTAATCACTTAATAATTAAATATTTTAAGCATTAGTTTACGAATTGTAGCTAAAATAGTGAGTTGAACTATTTAATGTAGTACCATAAATTTATGTTAGGTCGGACAATTAGCATAACTATATACTGATGTAGTTGATATTATCATACCAAACTTGTGAATGTTAAAATGTAAATATAATGATTTTTCAATATTTTGTACTGTTATTTTATGGATCTTACCGTTTTTTGTGCTTTAATCTTCCAACCAGAAGTCCTTGCTATATAGGCCTACAATAAACGTCCGAATACAAACCCACCCGAATATATAGAGGATATTACATGCCGGCGCGAAGATATGACTTTTATCTTCGAGTGGTGAAAACAATATTTTATGAACGAGCGCAGCGAGTGAGTAAAATGTTGTTTTTAACACGAGAAGATAAAAGTCATATATCTTCAAGCCACCATGTAATGTTCTGTTTATTATATAGTCCTAAGCAAAAAATTGTGAAATTTAACGCTCAAAAGCAAATTGTCAAATTGTCATGTGATCGATATCTTCACTAGTGAAGATATGGAAAATATGTCACTGTGTATTTTTCAGTATCTCTCACTCTCTACTATATAATAAAAGCCCATCCGAATAGTCGCTCCAGTGTCTATCATTACGATCGTTGTTGTTGTTTCTTTTGCTATAAAGTTGGTAATTAGTTTAAAGCTCTGTTTGTCAGCCTTAAGTCAAAAGGTTAGGAATCTTGCAAACTTTACTTTATAATTATCTATTAAATATTTTAAACATGCATTAATCTATAAACTGTCGTGAAAACATTGAGTTGAATTATTGAACGCAGTTCACTTGTATCCGGATATAATTTAAAATAATATCCTTACATGTTTTATGGCATGCAATTATTTTAATCCTATAACCGACTATGAAGGTGATCTACTATACTTGTTTATTTTACAATATTATACCTCAAATTGGGCCTGCAAGGAAGGCCGAGTATTTTATATTTGTCGCGTTCGTACACGAACGCAGCATTCTGATTGGCTGTTTGCTGTTATTTCGATTAAAAATGGAACAACAGACAATTTATTGTTCACTTGAAGGAAGAGATGTTTTTGCCGTTATGCCATCGGGATTGCTTGTCGTGAAGTGTTGGAATTGCAACATTACCAGTGGGGTAAACTATAGTATAACTTTACTTGAATTTCATTAATTTCAAACAGATTTGATACGTTTGTTATAAAGTGCTTAAAGCGCAATAACTTGAATCATGCTAATATTAAAGATGCAACAGAGCGATACAAAGAATGTAACTAGATTCAAAGTTCTTGCAAACCATGGAAGCAGGAAATTTGAAACAAATTTGTTTCTTTCATGACTTAAATAGTACTCGCGCAACATTTATCATTTATAGACCTGCATGGAGCAAGGAAGATTCAGCGAAATATTACCCTCAGCGATGGTATTTCCCAAGGTGCTTCGCCCCCGAGGGAAATATCATCACTGAGGGTAATATTTCACCGAATCCCCTGAGCGGTGGGTCAATAAATGATATATTATACCGAAAATTAAAAGCCTGCACGTTGAGAATATAAAACTTAACGCAAGTATTTGTCACTTTTATTTCGAATCACATATCGTTTAAAATATTGATGATATTACTTTAAAAAAATAGCTTTCTTCGAAGTTTGAATAATTCATCACTCCTTAGTAAATTTTGTCGCCCATCTTGTTTGCGTGATCGCCTCGCGTGGTTTACGCGAATCATATCAACCGGGTGATATGATCAAATCACCCCATGTGATGATTGAAATCACCCGCTACGTGAAATACGATGACGTAAGGCGTGATTCGATGACAATTTCATGCTCACGTGGAACAAATTTAGCTTTTTGATTGGACACTACGAATTTGAGGTATAATATTATGTAAAGTTATAATACATATATAGTCGATCAGATTAGTGACGGAAAATAAGGAACTACAGTGAAGCATGCGAGATAAGGGAAAGCGTAGGGCTCTGATTCACACGAGACCAGATAAATTGGAAGCCATGTGCTTGAAATTCCGCCGTTTCCGGGCGTCCTATGTGAACGTGTAAGGCGAAATCGCGGAAATTTCTGTACCTTCCGGGTTCACTCAGTCAAGCGTGTAGCACGAAAGAAAAAGAAAATGATTATTTCTCAGGAAATTATGTTTAGTAATTTCATTTATGCATCCTCGCTCCTTTTAAGTAAATGTAAAATATTGTTCCTTTGTTTACCGGCCAACAACAATGATAGTAATCCTGTCTCACTTCATTTGTCTATAGATAAATAGTGCAGGAAACCGTCATTTCATGTCATATTACACTATGTTTAAACTATGGCTATTCACTGTAGTATTGCTGTTTTTCCAAGGTAGGTTTCAATATATACGGTCAGTATCGTGTGGTTAAGTATTCGAGGATTTCTATTTACATTTTCAGGTTTGATATTGTTTTTGAAGTTCATGTTATCATTCAACATACTTTACCAATATTTAGAGTATTACTAACGATCCAAGTCCCATTGCATGTCGAACATCCCAGAGAATAAGTTCAACACACACCATATTATTATGAGAGAATGCATGGGATCAGGGTGAATCATGCATCGTGTCCAAGGCATCGCTTAAAGCTTTTATGTCAAGTTCAACAAGTTGCTAAAGCGCTGCTCGACTAGTTAGATCATAGAATAAGGTGTTTAAGTCGTAGCCATTACGTTAAAGTCGTATCCTTTGTCCCCAGTTGCATGTCAAACATCCCGGAAAATAAGTTCAACACACACCATATTATTCAACCTCCCAGGCTCTTTCCTCTACGCTCCTTGCTATGAGGTTGCATATTTTTGTGAGAGAATGGGATCAGGGTGAATCATGTCATACTACACTATGTTCAAGGCATCGCTTAAAACTTTTATGTCAAGTTCAACAAGTTGCTAAAGCGCTGCTCGACTGGTTAGATCATAGAATAAGGTGTTTAAGTAATAGCCTTTACGTGGTTCCGGTCTATCCTATACTTTAACCTCGAACCTCGACAGACTAAAATAAAGCAAGCTAAATAAAGTATTGTCTTTTTTAAGGTATCCACCATGTATCATTAAAGAATGTGTGCGTCAGTCACCGTGGACAAGATGAAGATAATTGTGGCAACTGGACATTACCATGTCGCAGTGTGAGACACGCTGTCAAGATTTCCAGTGCTAATGACGTCATACATATTGATTACGCTGAGGGGAGACCTTATAAAGAATGTGAACATCAAATTGGAGAATTATTCTGAATAAATCAATATCGTTTTACGGCTTTAATGGAAGTGCGATATTACATTGTGAACAAACCTACCCATTTTTTGAGATAAATAGTCAAAACCTCAAAAATTGTTCCGCTCCAGAAATTGTATTTTCGAACCTTTCGCTGGCTAGTCGTGGAATGTTGTTCAAAACCTTTGCCATTTCTAATAGGTTTGAACTGGAATTTAATTTCTGCGACATAGAGAGGTCTTTGTATTTTGTCTGGGCTGTATCCTTATCTTGCTCGATTCAAGTGTTCAATTCCAACATCCGAAGTTCTCGTGATCCGATATTCATGTATTGTGGTAACCTATCGGCTCGTCTGATTGGATCAACATTTTTCTCATGTCCAAGTACTTTTGTGTCTAATTATACTTATTTTTCAAGCGAAGTTAGTTTACTTCCTTATGAGGCAGTATTGAACGTTCATATCTATAACTGCACTTTTATACCGACGGAAAGAAAACAATCGTGTGAATGGCTTCTTTCAATCGTTCCTTGGACTGGTACTGGTAACATCACAATTAAGACTTCCACATTTTTGAACTTTACTGATCCTGTGAAAAGGGTACGATATGCGGCACTCTCAATATACAGTGGCTCTCCGCTCTTATTGTCAACAAGCATAGTTTTAGATAAATTACATTTTGAAAACATTAACTTAGGCCCGGTGGTTTATTTACAACTAAAAAACAAACAATGCCATGTCTCGATTTTTAACTCTATGTTCGTAAACACTGCCACAGCACTTGTCTGCAAGTTTAATCACTGCTCTGCTAAACTTTACAATATTACGTTTAACTCGACACATAGTATGCTTGGATCAGGAGATATGATCAGTCTCCTCGGTCGTTCCTACCATTTGTTGTCATGCCATTTTTTTCGAAATTTTCCTGCGCAAAATCCTATTTATCCACTTATTCGCACTGACGGTTCAACCGAAGTAACGTTCGAAAACTGTTCGAATGAAATTTATCCTGCTGTAAAAACTAGTCGCAATGGCAACGTATTGAGCAGCAACATGTTCTACTTTCTTTCGTACGATGCAACTGCAATTGCGCATGAAGGAGTAAGTCTTTTTGTGAAAGGATACTTTACAATGCTTTGTCCCCCAGGTTATAGAATGAATTTAAACGTTGTGCGTGATAAGTCTGCAGCTGTACCAGTAAAGTATTGGTTATTTGTTGCGTTGTGTGAGCAATGTCCGCGAAAAACATACTCTTTAGACAGAGGAGAAGCTCATAATACCCGGTCCAACCACATCACCTGCCACGACTGCCCTGTGGGTGGGAACTGTGTCGAAGGTCAGGTGACGTCTAAACCTAATTTTTGGGGATACGAGTCAAACGAGGAAGTCGAGTTTCTACAATGTCCTCCCAAATATTGCTGTGATACTGATGACTGCGAAAACTACAACAGTTGCCATGGTAACAGAATGGGTACTCTGTGTGGTGAATGTCCCAGTGGAATGTCGGAATCTCTATTTGACACAAAATGTAAAGCAAACAAAGATTGCACGAGTGTTACGTTTTGGACGGCGATCTCAGCTTACTTAATTCTTTATCTCTTATTTTTCTTATACCATGGCAATATCGTCAATTTTGTACAGAAACGTTTTATTTCATTGTTGTTACCGTCCGGAAACGGTCGAAATTCCAAATCCGGTGGCTTCCTGAAAATAATATTCTATTATTATCAGATTATTCATTTGTTAAGAAATACTGTTCGCTCTGACGCAAAAGTTAAACTATTAGATTATATGGAAACTTTTTTATCCAAATCATTCAATTTTCTTATCATTGGTATTCCTTCCATTGATTGTCCATTCCAAGATCTTCGTCCTGTTCAAAAAGCAGTCATTGTTCATTCTGTAGGATATAGTTTGTTAATACTTCTTTGTCTATTTTCTATGTCTTTGTATCTTTCTACATTTGTATTCACGGTACTTAAGAAACTGAGGGCTAGATCCACTCAGGAGATGGTCGCACCTACAGAAACAATGCGTCATAGTCCTATCCTGGAAGAGAATCCTTTTCTGGGCCGTATCGCAGGGGCCTTTGCCAACATTTCACTTTTAATGTACGCTGCTTCGACTCAACTCTGTCTTTCCCTTCTCCACTGTGTTCCAGTTCGTGACAACCAAGTTTTATTTCTTGATGGTAATGTAAAATGTTACCAAACATTTCAATATTTTCTTCTTGCTTACATGATTTCTTCCATACTTCCATTTTGTCTTGTTCCTGTTCTCGGCTCGTATCTTTTAAAGTCTGGTCGAATTGATGTTAAGCAATTTTGTGCGGCTTGTATCTTCCCTTTGCCATTTTGTTGTTTTTGGATGTATTTGTTGCTTAAGGACTGTCGTTGTGGAAATCAGGGATCGTATAACACAATAGAAGAAAATGATAATGCAGTAAGATCTGAACAAGATAATGACGAAACACAAAGCCTTGGTAGTGAAGAGAATACCTTTACCTCCTCCTCTGATAGGAATGAAACCACTTCTACGAGAAGTGAATCAGCTGTTTGCACTGATAGCAATGAAGCCACTGCCACGAGAAATGAGTCACCCATTCTCAGTGTGTTGAGTGTGTTGTTGGGTCCATTCAGACCTCACCAAGCTTTTATGTGTTTTCCTTCTTCACATATTCCTTGGGAAGGTTTTCTCATTGTTCATAGATTGGTCTTGATTATTGTGTTGACTTTCGTCTACGACATTCAGCTAAGACTTTTTGCAGCTTTAATACTTTGTGTTGCCATTCTAATCTTCCATATGTTTGTGTATCCTTTTCAGAGAAAACGCGACAATGTTCTGGAATCTTTTTCTCTTGGCACACACGTGGTCCTGTGTGGTTCAACTCTAATAAAAGCTCTTTATTACGGTGAAGATTATTCTTCTTTTTCAAAAAGTTTGCCGGTGTTGAATGTGATTGAAAATATTCTTATTGTCGCTCCATTGTCTGTCATTATGATGGTTGTTATCTTTTCTCTTGCTATAAAGTTCGTGTTTGGTTTAAAGCTCTGTGTATCAATCTTGATACGAAAGGTTAGGAGAATTTTAAGGTTTAATTTGTAATCACTTTATAATTGGTAATCACATTAGTTTACGAATTTTAGCTAAAACAGTGAGTTGAACTATTGAACGTAGTGCTATGAATTTATGTTAGGTCGGACAACATTAAGATTAGTGTAACTATATATTAATGTAGTTTTTATTATCATAGCAAACTTGTAAATGTTAAAATGTAAATATAATAATTTTTCAATATTTTGTGTTGTTATTTTATCGATCTTACTGTCTTTTGTACCAGAAATTCTATACAGCTGTTTTAATCTGACTAATTAACACCAAACATCATTTCGCCCACGAATCACGCGTGTATACATGTAATATAAGTGGCCATAGCGCGCGAGACAAAAACACAATATTATATTCAAGCTGTGTTTCGAGAAAATGTTGAATAATGGCGGCGTCGATAATCGCTTAGCGATACAAGTTTATTTCATATTTTGTTTTGGTAAGGATTATAATTCTTATTCCTCAAACTAGTATGTATCTCCCAAAGACAATAACACATTATAAATTTAATAATATTCGTAGCAATTGGCTCATGTTTATTATGAAAGTTCATAGACATACGCATTGTCATATTCATTTGATACTTTATCGCACAACTATAGTCTATATACAATCTTGTGATCTTTAACCTTTTATATTCGACAGCCAACTTTGACTACTAAGTGCGAGACGAATTAAATGTCTAACTAAGACGACTAAAATGTCCTTTGCCTTTGGACGAAAGTATCAGGCGAACCCAATTTCTCGTGTGTATATTTTAAGTCTGAATTCCAGTTAAGGTTGAGACATGCACACCGGACGCGATTCGACAACGCGACATGGATTTTCACTGACCGATAACTTTGATCCTGATTTAAGTTTTTCAAATATTTAGAAGCGCTATAACAATTTGAGTTATTTCGTTTACATGTCTTTTAAAATTTCCTTTCATTGACTGTTTTACTAACTGTCAAAAGCTGAAAAATCGCGCTGCGTGTCGAATCGCATCCGATGTGTCTCGGCCTTTAAAAGACGTCTTTTAATATAAATATGGCTAATGGCTATTAGCCAAATAATTTCTTGTTCCTTTTTCATGCTATAATTAAATGTTTATTTGTTACATATAAAATGAAATCAATATTTTCACTTTGGGTTGTTGTAGTGAATACATAATTTACAATCACATGGAATAAATTTATTAGTGTTATGTTCTATTATGCTGAGGATTACGTAATCGGGTTACGCGGGCTCTGCATTTAGCCTGCGTAGCGGGTTATGTCTAGCCTGCGTAGCGAGCTATGTCACTCGACAATGGATAGTTATGAGGCTGAATAGAATTGTCCCCGGCCTCAGTTCGAGTGAATAAATTGATAGAAATTTTGTAGTTTATTTTATTTAGTTACAGTGAGATACAAGCACGCTCACGGCGAGTTCCTTCGGGTGGAGATACGACCTAAGGTCGCCCGATTTATGGTGCAGAGAAGCGAGAATAATGAGCTCACAATTCATACCAAAGACTGTTCTCGTCTCTTTGTATATTAGCATATACTCGGGAAGTGGATAGTGCTTTTCACGCAATTTGATTGGTTGCTCAGTTCCGGATATACTTTCACTATTTACTTCCGGAAAAAATCAAAATGGCTTCCCGTTTCGTTCCGGCGAGCAAATTTACTTGTACTATTTAATTTGTTCTAAACGAAGCTGCGGTTCCGCCAAACAGAAGAAATCCACCAAGTTTTGTTTAACAGTGTGGAGAGGTACTCTTAAAGCTATTCGTAATGAATAACATGACTGAAATACAAATTGTTTTAAAAATTGTTCGTTGGTTTTTTGGTCATATTTGTTTTGTTGTGATATATGCTAAAACAATTATTCACCTCAGTGTTGAGATATTCGGTGAATATTCTTGCATTATAATGTTTGTGATGTTACTCTGAGTGTACATCCACACTGGGCAAGCTGAAACGTTTGCCTGACCACGGTGGGAATAGACGTGACCTTTAGGATACTAGTCCAATAATGCTCTACCAACTGAGTTACGAGGTCAGGTTGGTTCCAATTGGTGATATAGTTGGTAGAGCATTGGACTAGTATCCCAAAGGTCGCGGGTTCGATTCCCACCGTGGTCAGGCAAATTTTTCAGCTTGCCCGGTGTGGATGCACACTCAGAGTAACATCGCAAACATCATATTCACCTGAGTACATAACACCAACACAAAAAGTATCATTATCCACCCCCACTTTTGTAAATATTTGTTAATTATATTTACGAATATTCCCGTCTCGAGCAATGGAGATTCACTCGATATTTGTACAGCGTACGTAACCTTTTCAAAACCTCTTTATGTTTACTTAAAGTGTCCAGCATGTATTCTTAAAGAATATATTTGTCAGTCACCGTGGACAAGATGAAGATAATTGTGGCAACTGGACATTACCATGTCGTAGTGTAAGATACGCTGTCAACATTTCCAGTGCTAATGACGTCATACATATTGATTACGCTAATGGAAGATATTATAAAGAATGTGAAGATCAAAGCCACGATTATATTGAGCTCAATAAAACTCTGAGTTTCCACGGCATGAATGGTACTCCGATAATACAATGTCAGTGTATTGACTGCAACTTTTTCAGAATAAATAACGGGAATAATAGCTTTGTAAAAATAACATTTCAAGATCTGATTTTATCAACTACTGGTGCATTGGTCACAAGTTATTCCAGTTTTGGGTTGGTATTTACGGGCTGTACGTTGAGGAACTACGATATAGGCGTTTACGTAGCATCAAATGAATCTTGTTCAATTAAAATCTTCAATTCGTTGTTTCAAGGCAAGGCCAAGTCCGCATTACTGTTAAATTGCTTAAACCTAACAACTCATCTTGTTGCAACGACATTCCAATCCAGCCCAATTGAATTATCTACTAGTAAAAACATCCAGAGACGTGTACAAACAATAGAAGTGTTTATCTCTAAATGTACTTTCGACGGTCAACATAAACACACAATGACTGAACAACTTCTGATCCTACTTTATGCAACTACATCTAATATCACTCTTCAGAATTCTACATTCCGTAACTACTACGGGAGAAGTGACTGGGAAGGGAATGCGGTATCGAGTATTCTTATAATGGACATAGATTATGGCGTACGTAAGACCACACTATCATTTGATAGGCTACTTTTTGAGAATATACACTGCACTGATATGGTAGTAGTCTTGAAACCTTTACAGATTGCCAATATGAAACTTCAAGTTAGTATTGTCAACTCGATGTTTAGGAATACCACACCAGCATTAGCCGTTGTACCAAATCCAAGACATTTTGTAAACAAGGCTGCTATAAAAATATACAACAATACTTTTTTAGGTGTACATGAAACATTTAGCAACACCTGGCGAACTCTTGTATATTTGGGTTTTGGTAGATTCCACGTAGCCTCGTGTCGATTTCTTAACAATACGGCAGAGAATAACCCTTACGATGCTCTAATTCACATAACATCCAAAGCCAACGTGCAAATGGAAGACTGCTACTTCGAAAGTGATACGTTATCCATTCAGATATATGCTGAGGAGAACAGCCAAGTTTCATTTGAGAGGAGTAATATTATCGACATTAAAGCCTCAAAACGCCAGGAGGGTACCATACTCTTATACACGCCTTCAGTGCAACTTATTATTACAGGGTCATTAAGAATATTATGTCCACAAGGATACAATATGATTTCTCAACTCAGTTGTGATTTACGGGACAGTGTAATATATTGTTCGTATTTAACTGCATCCTGTGAGCAATGTCCGCAGAGAACATACTCCTTAGAAAGAGGGGAGTTATTGAACAACACCAAGAATAACCTGAAATGCCAGGACTGCCCGAAGGGTGGAAACTGTCTGAAAGGACGTGTCACAGCAAAGCCCAATTTCTGGGGATACAGGTCAAACCGGACAGTCAAGTTTCTACAATGTCCTCCCAAATACTGCTGTGATACAGATCACTGCAAAGACTACAACAGTTGCCATGGGAACAGAATGGGTACTCTGTGCGGTGAATGCCCCAGTGGGATGTCGGAATCGCTATTCGACACAAAATGTAAACCAAACAAAGAATGCTCAAGCGTGTCGTTCTGGCCGGGAATAATATGTTATCTAATGGTTTATCTTGTGTTCTTTTTATACCACGAGGAAGTGTTTACTTTCGTCCAACACCGCCTATCCTTTCGACTCTCCACCCGACATCACCCCTCTAAACCCAGTGGCTTACTTAAGATACTGTTTTACTATTACCAAGTACTACACTTATTGAGAACCTCCGTCGGCTCGCGTGCAAATGGGAAATTTGTGGACGAGTTTGAAAATGTAATAGCAAGGTTCTTAAATCTACTAGTCATTGATATCCCATTCTTTGACTGCCCATTCAAGAATGTGCGTCCTGTCCAAAAGGCTGTTATACTTCATTCCGTAGGATATGGCTTGTTGACGCTTTTGGCCGTGCTATATTTGTTTAGATTACTGTATGTAATTGGAAAGCAATTGACAAGCGGCAGTTCAGCTAACATGACTGTATTTACAGATATTGAATCTTCAAACCAGGAAAGAAATACTACATCCTTCGTGGGACGTGTTGCTTCGGCTTTCGCATACATTTCGCTTCCAATGTACGCTTCTTCAGCCCAACTCTGTCTTTCCCTTCTTCACTGTGTACCAGTTGGTGACAGCCAAGTTCTATTTCTTGATGGTAATGTAAAATGTTACCAAACATTTCAATATTTTCTTCTTGCTTACATGATTACTTCCATACTTCCATTTTGTCTTGTTCCAGTTCTCGGCTCGTATCTTTTAAAAATGCACCGTATATCTGTACCACAGTTTTGCCTGGCTTGTATGTTTCCTCTACCATTTTGCTGCTACTGGACGTATTTGTTGATACGAAATAATACTGATGGTGGTCGCGTATTGTCAGTACAGATCAATGACTTATCAACAGACTGTGACGGAATGACCGAAAGTACTGATGCAGTACAAATATCCACTAGAACAGAAACGTCCCAAGGTTATAATTCACCTGCAAGAACTTCCATACTTCGTGTGCTGATAGGTCCATTTCGTCCTCACAAATCAAGGTTAATTTTTCCTGCCTCAAATCTTCCCTGGGAAGGCTTTCTCATATTTCGCAGGCTAGCTTTGATCCTGGTTTTAATGTTTATCTACGACAACCGTCTCAAAATGTTCATAGCTTTAACGCTCTCTATCGTCATATTAATGACTCATATGTACGTGAAACCGTTCATAAATCAGCGTGATAATTTACTTGAGGCGTTGTCTCTGGGTGCTTTGATAATTCTGTCCGGATTCAGTCTGATTAAAGCTATGTATTACGGGGAAGATTTGTCATATTCGTCGAGTAATCTGTCATTGTTAAAACAGTTTAACTTGATTGAAAATATCTTCATCGTGACCCCACTTGTTGTAATATTGGTTATCGTATCACTTTCGCTTTTACTCAAGTTAATAATTTGTCTTCGGGCTTATGTTAATGGCTTGCTAAGATCGATAAGAACGCGAAGTATGCGATAAACAAACTGATATAATTCAAATAAATCTTACCAGGAAACGGGGACACTAACTCCTATAGATTTGGTAGAAAACCGTCTCGCCGAGCACTGGATATAGAGCCGGATTCAAAAATAGCCTGAAAAGCGGACTCAAAAATAGCCTGCGAACAGGCTCTCAAGCTGAATTGAGAGCCTGCATTGATGACGAATGAATTTGAATATCTGCCCCGTAACGTTCGTTTTTCCAAATATGGAATGCCTATCCTTATATGGTGTTGTTTACAACTTTCGTGCAAACTAAATTTAGACCGTGCAAACTAAATTTAGACCGTACAGTTTATACTGTTTTTCGAAATATAAGATATTCAAGCAAAAGTTCAAATGTTTTAAATACTGTTTTCTCAAATCAGATCATTTCGTGCTTTGAGATAAGATGGCCAAAACCAATTTGATCATTTAATGTGTTTTTCATGCATTTAAGTGCTGCAGTTGACATATATAGAGCTCAGCGGAAACATATAAATTATAGCATCTGACCAATGAGAATTTCGCGTCACGATTTGAGACGCAGATATTCGAATTCATTAGTCATCGATGCAGGCTCTCAATTCAGCTTGAGAGCCTGTTCGCAGGCTAACTCAAAAACAGAGATGATGGACAAGTCAATTACGTATAAAAGCTCCTATCTATATGGAACGAAACTAGGGAACTTGAACCTTTTAGCTCATTTAAGAAATCTTTAAATAACGGATTACTTAGAGACAACTAACTGTATGACCGATTCTTACGTACATGTTCTTATTTGCCTATAAATATTGCATGTACAACATTAATAAGTGATAGTATAATTAGGATAACATGTAATAATATATTCAACTATAATTTCAATTTATAGTTTGTTATAAAATTTTGACTACTAATCTTTCACAATCCCATCATCTGGTGCTGTGATCACCAAATCGTTAATAAATAAATGCTTTACTAGTACCATTACTACCATCACTACCATTACTAATACCACCAGCACCCGCCCTTATCACCCCACCTCAACACAATAAATCCAATCCTATTCAATCAAGCATTTGAATAAGTGCGGAAGATAAAAAGACAATAACCATGGATTGGTATGCTTCGTCTTTTAAACTTGTATTGAAAACATGTACAAAATTAAGTTTGTACTTGTGTTGTTTTTTTAATTTGGTGCTGCACGATAAATATCAACAACTTGTCCATGGTTGATAACAACACGAACGTTGTGCTGAACCCTATGTGTTTTCAGTGCATTGTTGGTTCCATTGTCAGTGTATTGTTGGGTCCATTTAGACCTCACCAAGCTTTTATGTGTTTTCCTTCTTTACATATTCCGTGGGAAGGTTTTCTTATCTTTCGTAGATTGGTCTTGATCATTGTGTTGACTTTCGCCTACGACATTCAGCTCAGGTTGTTCCTAGCTTTAACCCTGTGTGTTGTCATTCTAATCTTCCATATGTTTGTGTACCCTTTTCAGAGAAAAAGCGACAATGTTTTGGAATCTTTTTCTCTAGGTACACACGTGGTCCTGTGTGGTTTGACTTTAATAAAAGCTCTTTATTATAGTGAAGATTCTTTTTTTCAAAAAGTTTGTATGTGTTGAATGTGATTGAAAAGATTCTTATAGTCGCTCCAGTATCTGTCATTACGATCGTTGCTATCTTTTGTATTGCTATAAAGTTGGTATTTGGTTTGAGGCTATATGTTTAGCAGTCTTGATTCGAAATGCTAGGAGGCTTGTAATGTTTACTTCGTAATCACTTATTACTTAAATATTTTTAAAAGTTGATGTATACTGTACGCAATTTACTTGTATAATGCAATTATTTTAACTCTCATGTAGACTGCAAGTGACCATGTAGTAGATATATGCTATACTTAAAATACTCATTACAGGTAAACTACGTGAACCGTTCCTCTTTTGACTTCGTAACTCATTTGGAATTTTCCTCATTAGCTTTGCAAATTTGAAAAACTCGTTGCAAATCCCTTCAGGGAATTTGCAATGTTCCTATCGGCTGTTGCAATATTCCAATGCAAACAAACTTCATTTTAAATCTTCCTAACTTCCTGTTTTAATTTCCTAACTTCCTGTTCTGTTCTGAGCGTTGTTATTGGTCGATTATTTTTGTTGGCCAATTGCAACGCCCAGAACAGAACAGGAAGTTATGAACTTGTGACAGGAAGTTAAGAACTTGTAACAGGAACTGAGGAAAATTTAATTGGCTTTTAGCAACATTGCAAATTTCCTCAAGGATTTGCAAGGGAGTTTTTTTAATTGCAATAGTAATGAGGAAAATTGCAATCAATTTAGAAACTCAAAAGAGGAACGCTTCACGTAGTTTACCTGTAATAATGCATGAAGAAAATTCAAAAGAAATGAATGTTTAATTAATGTTGTAAATCGGATAAAGATTTGTCCTGATTTACATTAAATTCAGCTACGCGGCTATGCCTATGATTTTCTCGGCTTAATTAGACAATGTTTATTTTTAAAATTACTTCGCGAATGAACTCATAAGATGGGTGGTTTTTTAAGTACGTTATTCGGCTCGAGTTTGTATATCAGATAAAGATCGGCTGCTCATGTTTTAACTAGTACTTATTTTGGGATATACTTTGTTTTGTTATTCTAGTAGATGATACTTAGATCTTACTGTCTTTTGTGTTCTAATCTTTTAACTCGAAGCGTAAAACCCATGTTTATCCAGTTATTAGTTAGAATAACTGCAATCTTATGGCGACAAATTACAGTAACCTGTCTCAACTTGAGTGGATGAATACTCAACTTGGAATTTGCAAGACGTTCTGCTTGACTGCTTCCCTGCGTCCTTTAATTGAATGCAAAATGTAATTTATTGTTTGCTGCCAACTTATTCATTAAGAATGACACTGTCTGTGAAACTGCAATTTACCGCTAAATAAATACTGGAAACAGTCATTCCTCGACGTCACATTACACTATGAACGAACTACGGTTACTGATTGTAGTTTTGCTGTTTTTCCAAGGTAGGTTTTTATATAACTGTGTATTAGTTTAGTGGCATACGAGGACCAATATGCAGTAGCAACTCGCTAACTCGAATTCGCTCAACTCGAACTTCCTCTAACTCAAACTAAATCCAATTTCCCCTGGGCCCTGGATTTGACACAATTTTTATAGTAATTTACTCCAGTTAACTCGAACTCGCTTAACTCGAACTTCTTGCTAACTGGAACTACAAATTTTATTTTCCCTTGCTCAAATTTACGCGGTTAACTCGAGCTGTATTTCTGAGACGTGGAGTTCGAGTTAGCGGGATTCTATTGTACAGGATGTCTAAAAAAAAAAACGCTATGGAAATTCAACAGGCTGTTGTGCATCACAAACTTAACTAAACAATTCAATTTTTACATAGGACGAAAGAGCTGTTATTTAGCTTTTCTATGATATATTTCTTAAACCGTAACGATGAGAAATGGCCATATACTCGTCAAATATACATTTTCGGTCGAAATCACATTCTTCCACCGTTGGGAATTGAAAATACATTAATTATGCAAAGTTAATCAATCCAAAAGCACCGCGAGTCTGCTTCAAGGCATAGATGTTCAAGGTACTTGTTTCCTAAAACGTTTTGATTACGAATGCTTTCTGTTCAGGGCTTAATTGAACCATGTTTAATGCAATAATGGACGTTCTTATATGGTCTCACTATATAAGACGAAGATTGACGAGTTGAGCTTATTTTAGATAATTTAACATTCAATTTTAATTCCTTCGTGGGAATTGTTTATGTTTCGTTTTCCATGCAATTCCCAACGGTGGAAGAATGTGATTTCGACCGGCAATATTTATTTGACGAGTATGTGGCCATTTCTCATCGTTACGATTTAAAAAGATTATCATTCAAAAGCTAAATAACTGTTCTTTCGTCCTATATGTAAAAATTGAATTGTTTAGCCACGTTATGATGCACGACAGCCTGTTGAATTTCCATAGCGTTTTTTTAGACACCCTGTAGTATGACGTTACCATTCTATATACTTATATTAAGATTCAAAGCGTTTGTTTCTTCTATACTACAAGCTAGCTGTTTTCGAATTCGCCCGTTTTATGCATCCTGCTAATTTAATGGGAAAGGCGAAATCGGAAAAACGCAAGTACGATTTAGAATTCCCCTATTTCCATGTAAACGCGGATCCTTAGAAGCCTTAGAATACAAGCGGAAGACTAATGGCGGAAAATTGAAAAGAAAACTGCTTTGTCTTCGAAATATAGATAGGGAAAGTCATATACCTTCTCGCTCATTGCTTGCGTCCAAATGAAACTACAAACTTCCAGGCATTAGGCATATGGAAGACGTTGCGCTTTCTTGAATATCTTAAATAAATGCAAAATATTGGTTGTTTTCCTGCTGACAACAAAAATCGCTATAACTAATTCTGTCTCACTTCACTTGCCGATCAGTAAATGCTGGAAACGGTCTTCAACGGCATATATGTTGTGTTATCCACGAGCCAACGGCGCCAAGCGCCGTTCCAGGCGTTAGCCCGAGGCGAGGGTACTAATTCTGCTCGGCTATTTACACCCGGGGAAAGGAACGCACTAGCGAACATAGAGATTATAAATAACACTAGAGGAGGCATTGTAATCTTAATTCAGTAAAAAAAAAGGAACGCAGCTATTGGGGGGCAAATTCAAGTCCCGGATGTGTATTCGTGTTCTCATTGGTGACGAGTTTCAAATCAGCCAATGAGAGCACAATTTTATATTTGGGACTTGAATTTGCCCCCCATCAGCTGCGTTCCCAATTTTTAAACTCGATGCCTCCTCTAGTGTTATTTATAATCTCTATGCTAGCGAAGTCTAAAGTTCATCAAATATCGTGGGCGCATGGTTATGATCCAAGGGTGGACCTCCTCACTTATCTCAAAAATACGGCTGTTTGCCAGGAGTGGGATAAGCACACTGAGGATATTAAAGCAAGTTAAAAGCAATAATCTTTCGACCATTTTTGCCGTGTTGTACAAAAGCATAATAAAAATTAAAATTATCGTAAACGACGTACATTGACGTAAACGCGAGCCTGCGTTCAGTGTTGATCAATTACTAATACTTCATGTTAAATCAATGTTAGGAAAATATAGGCGAGGAGTTGCTGCATGCATGTATTTCTACTTTCTAGTACTATGTGTAAACTATGCCTACTGATTGTAATATTGCGATCTTTCCATGGTAGCATGCGTTCGTTTACCATTTAGCATTCAATAGTCAATATTGCAAGGATTTCTAATAAGATGTACAAGGACTAATATAGTCTTTGGTTTTTGTTTTCATATTGTTATTCTACATCAAAGCGTGTATATCTTTGAAGTAAACGTTTCAATCATTCAAAATTTTAGCCATTCAAGATGTTATGACTAATTCACTGTTTGTCAGCCACCATGGAGATGATCTCAATAATTGTGGTAACTGGACTATGCCTTGTCGTACTGTGCGACATGCAGTGAAGATGTCTAATGATGGAGATCAAATTTATATTGATTATGCACAAGGAAGACCGTATATGGAATGCGAAAATTTAACCCAATCAACATGCTCTATCGAGTTAACAAAATCTGTTTCATTTCATGGTATCAATGGAAAAGCTAAAATTCAATGTAGGAAATGTTTCAAAATGTTTAACATAACGAGCTCAAGTTTTAAAATAACGCGAATCAAATTCCTGAATTTGGTTATATCAAATTCAAATATCGTTGCCGAACTTGATGTAGGGGCCAAGGCGGAATTAGTATTCCAAAATATGTTGATCAGGGATAACTCTTATGCTATATACAGCAAGAATTCGATTGATTGTTCGATTAAGATATTTAATTCAAGTTTTGAACATCATTTCAGCCCGACATGGGGAATTTATCTGCGATGTGTCAACCTCACTGTACATATAAACTCTGCTTCCTTTATATTAACTCCTGTGCTCTTCACAAACATTGCCAATAAACCAACACGGTGGAAAAAAACAGAGATCATAATACAAAATACGATATTTAATGGTAAAAAGATTCAAAAATGTGCTTCAATGTTCACGATAAGGCCGTTTGCAGCTATATTTAATGTCACAATAAGTGACTCCGAGTTTAAAAATCATTTTGCAAACTGCAGTTCCGGACAAGAGGATCGGCTTTCTACAGTGCTAATATATGACTATACCTCAGATGTCCGCAATATAACATTCATACATTTTAGCAATCTGAAATTCGAAAATAACTACAATAACATGGCTGCACTATCACTGACTACTTCTTATCGAGATCACACTCAACTACATGTTATGATAAGAGAGAGCATTTTCAGGAACAATTCAAATGCACTTCGAGTTTCTTGTCGCAGTTTTGATAAAATTTCCCCAGCGAAGGGGCCCACAATAATTCTTGAGAACAACACGTTCGTTGAAAACTTTTGTGAAATGCGGACAATTAGTGGTGCAGCAGCAATTAAATTCCACAATGTTAAAAGCCGAGTATTGTCATGTCGTTTCCTTGACAACAGGCCTGGTCAAAATCCCTACACTGGTGTAGTCACAATTGCTGACTTGGCAAGAGTTACATTTTTTAATTCTTATTTTGAAAACCGCCAGACGGCAGAACAAGCTAATCAACTGTTTGCATCAGGAAACGATCCCGTTTACTTTAAAGGCGAAAATACGTTTAATTTAGTCGCATTAAAAGAGAGCCGGCAGACTGTATTCACTCGTGTACCACGCATTTTTGACACTAAAGCTATTATGAAGAACGATTTTAAGATCTTATGTCCACAAGGCTACAAAGTAAATTCGCAGCGAGAGTGTGTAAACATAAAGAATGCATACATGTGTTTCTATATCAATGTCCAATGTGAACAGTGTCCAACGAAAACGTACACAATCGAAAGAGGCAAATTCATTTTCAATAAAAGCAATGACATCCAATGTCTGCAATGTCCTCGAGGAGGGGACTGTGGTAATGGACTGGTCACGGCCAAACCAAACTTTTGGGGTTACAGAACAAATATGAAAATCATCTTTGTCCAATGTCCCCCAGGATACTGCTGCGACTCCGAGGATTGCGTCATTTATGATGGTTGCCATGGAAACAGATTTGGTACACTCTGTGGTCAATGTCCAGAAGGAATGTCGGAAAGTTTGTTTTCCACACAATGTATATCAAACACAGAATGCTCCTTAAATTATTTCTTTATAATTGGCGCAATTGCAATGCTTGTTCTATATCTGGTCTTCTTTCTTTACCATAAAGAAATTGTGAGCATTCTTCGAACAAGTTTATTTAGTAAGCGCTTGTCGTTCTCAATAAACAACAGAAACGAGCAAAGAAACAATGTTAGCACCGGTGGTAATACCTCTTCACCAAGTGGGATGATTAAGATATTCTTCTATTACTATCAAGTTTGTAATTTGCTACGGAGCTCTGTAGGTTCTTTTAAAAAGGGTCAATTCATTCATAATTTTGAGAATGTTATTTCAAGGGTAATGAATATGGTTCTAGTTAATCTTCCATCTTTTAAATGTCCTCTGAAAGATCTTCATGCTGTTCCTAAGGCCGTTATACCACACTCCGTGGGGTATTGTCTTCTTGCTCTTCTTTACTTGATAAGCAAGTTGATACCGATCTTAAGAAGATTACAACATGATGGTGATGCACGAACAGCGTTACAACATGTTACTTCAACAACGTCCGATAATAGAAGTAGCGCTTCAAAATCGTTATTTTCACAACGAGTTGCTTCGGCCTTCACTTACATTTCTTTATTAATGTACGCTTCTTCAGCTAAACTCTGTCTTTCCCTTCTCCACTGTGTACAAGTTGGTGATAATAAAGTTTTATTTCTTGATGGTAATGTAAAATGTTACCAAACGTTTCAATATTTTCTTCTTGCTTACCTGATTTCTTCCATACTTCCATTTTGCCTTGTCCCTGTTTTCGGCTCGTATCATTTAAAGTCTGGCCGAATTGGTGTGAGACAATTTTGTGTAGCTTGTATCTTCCCTCTGCCATTTTGTTGTTTTTGGATGTATTTGTTGCTTAAGGACTGTCGTTCTGGAAATCAGGAAACGTATAACACAATAGAAGAGAATGACAATGCAGTAAGATCTGAACAAGATAATGACGAAACACAAAGCCTTGGTAGTGAAGAAATCACCTTTACCTATTCCACTGAAAGCAATGAAAACACTTCTACGGGAAGTGAATCAGCCATTCTCAGTGTGTTGTTGGGACCATTTAAACAGCATCAAGCTTTTATGTGTTTTCCTTCTTCACATATTCCTTGGGAAGGTTTTCTCGTCTTTCGTAGATTGGTCTTGATTATTCTGTTGACTTTCGTCTACGACATTCAGCTCAGACTTTTTCTAGCTTTAATATTGTGTGTTGCCATTCTAATCTGCCACACCATTGCGTATCCTTTTCAGAGAAAACGCGACAATGTACTGGAATCTTTTTCTCTAGGCACACACGTGGTCCTGTGTGGTTCAACTCTAATAAAAGCTCTTCATTACGGTGAAGATTATTCTTCTTTTTCGAAAAGTTTGCCTGTGTTGAATGTGATTGAAAATATTCTTATTGTCGCTCCATTGTCTATCATCATGATCGTTGTTATATTTTCTCTTGCTATAAAGTTGGTGTTTGGTTTAAAGCTCTGTGTATCAGTATTGATTCGAAAGGTTAGGAGGCTTGTACGGTTTACTATGTAATCACTTCATAATTATATATTTTAAACATTAGTTTAGGAATTGTAGCTAAAATAGTGAGTTGAACTATTGAACGTAGTACCATAAATTTATGTTAGGTCGGACAACATTAAGATTAGTATAACTATATATTGATGTAGTTGATATTATCATAGCAAACTTGTAAATCTTAAAATGTAAATATAATGATTTTTCAATATTTTGTGTTGTTATTTTATGGATCTTACATTCTTTTAGGCTTTAATCATCCAACCAGTAGTCCTTGCTATATACCATAAACCTCCGAATACAAGCCCACCGGAATATAAGCCCAGCCGTGTAGTCGCACCAGTGTCTATCATTACGCTCGTTGTTATTGTTTCTTTTGCTATAAAGTTGGTATTTGGTTTATAGCTCTGTTTGTCAGTCTTAAGTCGAAAGGTCAGGAGTCTTGTACGGTTTACTTTGTAATTTCTTATTAAATATTTTAAACATTAATCTATAAACTGTCGTGAAAACATTGAGTTGAATTATTGAACGCAGTTCACTTGTATCCGGATATAATTTAAAATAATATCCTTACATATGTTTTATGGCATGCAATTATTTTAATCGTATAACCGACTGTGAAGGTGATCTACTACTTGTTTATTTTACAATATTATACCTCAAATTCAAATTGTCCAATCAAAAAACGGCATTTGTACCACGTGATAATGTGATTTTTTACGGCATTTCACTCAAATTCATGATTTATGATAATGAGTTATTGATATGATGATCATGTACACTTCTCTGTCAAAATTAATACATAGGATAAATGTCAATCATTACCCCCAAATGCATGCGTGTCCAAAGGGAGCCTAAATTTAAATAAGCCTGCTGGCTTCATTTTAGACTTCCTTGTTGCTAATATATTAATCGTGATTTCAAGTGTTTATTTATTTATTATTTTTGTGAAAAAGGCGAAATGCTCGAGTTCGCGAGGTGCCGCGCTTGATATATATGTGTTGTATTCTAAAAAACGAACAGAAACTATCATAAATTTAAACAAACTTTCGTTTGAAAATAACTACTCTATGGGAGCAATGGTTCGTCTTATCCCAGTGCATATAAGAGGTACAATCTTCAGAGTTGGCATCACGAATTCCGTATTTAGGAACACTAGATCGGCTTTGAATATGGCGTTTAACGGCAAAAGACGTAGTTTAATACGGGGATATGATTTAGCTCTAATAACATATTTCTAAACAGATATATAGCTTCCACGAATCCTTGGTTCAATCTTAATCTCGGAAATGGAAAATATCTTTTTTCCCAGTGTAATTTCATTAACAATATCGGTGGCGATAGCCCAAACGATGCTGTTTTACGAGTAAGAACTATCGATGATGTAGTTGTAGTCTTTAATGACTGCTACTTTGATAACTGTCAAGCAAGTTCATCATCGACTCAGATATTTGCAGAAAATCGGCACTGGCTTTTATTTTATGTACTATTTAAAACACGAGTAGGAGTGTTTTATATCTGATAAAACACGCGTTTCATATCTGATAAAACACGACAACGAGTGTTTTGAATAGCTTAAAATACGACTACAAAAGAATACTAATTAGGATGAACCATTATATAATCATGCTAATTAGGATGAACAATTATATAATGCCACATGTGTTTGCCCCATGCCGTATGGGTATGTCGTAGCATCTAACAAATGCTGCGAAGTGGCTAAAAACAAGAAATATATAGAATGTGCCCACTTCTCTGTATCGTGCAAATTATGCCCCAGAAACACGTACTCGATAACAAGATCAGTACTTCATAACAACATCACAAATCAAATCCAGTGCCACGATTGTGTTAATGGTGGACAATGTCTTGAGGGAATATTGACAGCCAAGCCTAACTTTTGGGGTTACAAAATGAACCAATCAGTTCGTTTTCTTCAATGCCCACGTGATTATTGTTGTGAAGAGAATGATTGCGAATCATATAACAGTTGTCATGGTAACAGAACTGGAACAATTTGTGGAGAATGCCCCCAACGCATGTCGGAATCGTTATTCTCAACGGAGTGCTTACCAAATCATAAATGTGGCAGTGATGTAGTTTGGCCTCTGGCGTTTTGTTTCTGCACAGCGTACCTAGTATTCTTTTTGTATCATGAAGAAATAGTAAAGTTCATCAAGAAACTTGCATTTCCTTCACAGCGAAGGCAGGAAAATCGAGATCCCAGTGAACCTACCCAAAACAGTTCTTCTAAAAACAGCGGAATGCTAAAAATATTATTTTATTACTATCAAGTCGTTCGTCTGTTGAAGAATTCTATTGGTTGGCATAAGAATAGAACATTCAATGACAGAATAGAAAATATGTTCAGTAAATGGTTTAATTTCATTGTTTTGGGCATTTCTTCTTTCGAATGTCCTTTTACTGACCTTCATCCTGTTGACAAACAAGTGATTCTGCACTCTGTAGGCTATATATTGTTGGGTTTCCTTGGTGATCTTTACATCTTAACCGGATCCATCTTTTTGCTTAAACATTCAAGAAGATCTCAAAGACAGGCAATAGAACGAGATATTAGTGCAACCACAATGAACCAAACACCAAGAGCTCCTACATCGTGTTTTACTTCTCGTATTGCCTCAGCTTTTACTTATATATCTCTATTAATGTATGCTTCTTCAGCCCAACTCTGTCTTTCCCTCCTTCACTGTGTACCAGTTGGTGACAACCAAGTTTTTGTTCCTTAATGGTAATGTAATATGTTACCAAACATTTCAATATTTTCTTCTTGCTTACATGATTTCTTCCATACTTCCATTTTGTCTTGTTCCTGTTCTTGGTTCCTATCTTTCAAACTTTGGACGAATTGTGCTGCTTGTATTTTCCCTTTGCCATTTTGCTGTTCTTGGTTGTATTTGTTGCTTAGGGACTGGTTCAACCAGAGAAGATACGATTCTCTAGAACAGAATATTGGTATGGGAGAAAGTTTGGAGGGAGTGCTGAATTCAGACGATGTAGTTGCTGCTATTAATGATAAAACCTACTCTATTCTTCGTGTTCTCCTAGGACCATTTCGAGCCCATCAGTCTCTAAAGTGGTTTCAGGGATGCCCAATTCCTTGGGAAGGTTTTCTGACATTTCGTAGACTTTCTCTTATTATTGTGCTCACATTCATCTATGATAATCGTTTGAAAATGATCGTAGTTTTAACACTTTGTGTTGCTATACTCATTTCCCAAATGTATGTTAGACCTTTTCACAAAAGTCTTGACAACCTCCTTGAAACTATATCCTTAGGCACCAATGTCGTTCTTTGTGGTCTCACGAAGATTAAGAGACTTTGAAACTGTTGTGTTGGTGTAATGTACTCAGGTGAATAAGATGCTTGTGATGTTACTCTGAGTGTGTATCCACACCGGGCAGGCTTGAAAAATATGCCTGGCCACGGTGGGAATCGAACCTACGACCTTTGGAATACTAGCCCAATGCTCT